AAACCGAAACTTGTCGTAAAACGCGGGCGAAAGCAAAGCACAGGAAAATTCAATCACGCGGTTCTCGACACGCACACGCGGCACCCGAGCAGCTAGTTCGGCAGAGCTCGCCCAAGTACGCTATCGCACCCGTGCGCTCTGCAACCATGCTCAGTGGCCTGCACATCTCGCTCCTCACCATCGACCCGCCCGAAATGTTTTCGTCCTTCTCGCCGTCGGCCGAGGCGCACCGCCTGGTCTTCCACCACCGTCTCAACCTCACCATCAGGCCCGTGGAGCACACGGCCTCCTCTCGTCGATTCGCCGACTGCTCGGCCGGCGTCGTGCACCCAAGCCGCCAGGTCTGCTGCAGCGCTGCGTGCGGGCTGTGCGGCGGACGCGGCTGCTCCAGTCGCCCTGGCGGGCCACGCCAGTGCTGCATGCCCGCTATCTTGCGCACGGGTCGGGTCTGCGAATCACGGGCGGACGTGGCGTGCATCCTGCGGGGCAGCAGCAACTACGTCCGAGGCGACGGCGTTGAGCATCGCGGCAGCAGTGACGAGGGGTTCCCCAGGGCTCCACCACCGCCGCTGCCATCGCCACAGGCGCACGCACAAACACAGACCAATCTCGGGGGCAGTGGCGCTGTCCTCTCCACAGCTGGTGGAGAGTCTACGCAGCTCGCCAGCATGAGGGTACATGAGCGCGCCACGAATGCGGGCTTTGGCGACGAAGCCCTTGTCCTCCTGCAGCAGGAGCCACCCGCGTACATCAGGACCCGCCCATCGCGGGGCAACTTCTCTCGACATAGCTGTCTCGGCCCTCGGCACGACATCGACATAGAGTACCGAAGCCAGCACCAGGCAAGTCGCAGGATGATGAGAGTGCCCCCGTGGCACTATCGGAGCTGTGTCTTCCGGCACGTGTGCTGGAATCTGGCCGCGCCGTAAGGTAAGGTAAGGTAAACTTCTCCACACACACGAGGTGGTGGGGCAAGGGGGGGCAACCCTCGCGTCTCCACGTCTGACGACAGGAGCCCCACGGCATTCAAAGTGCAAGGCCCAGTGCGCGTGGGTGAGCGGCGTGTGTGTGTGTGTGTGTGTGTGTGTGTGTGTGTGTGTGTGTGTGTGTGTGTGTGTGTCTAGTCCCGTGCCAGTGTTGTGCGAGACAGTGCGAGGGAGCGTTTGGGCTGCACTTCATGCAATCATGGAGCACTTGGAGTGCCCAGTCAGTACGCTTTAACCTCACACGCAGGCACGCAAAATTCTATTCGTTGAAAGTTCTCTTTTTTGCGCGGGGTTGTGGGGTGGGGAGGTCGGGGTGGGGTGGGGTTGGCGCCGGAGTGGGAGAGTCTGAGTCGGTCGTGTGACTGCTCTTGTGGTCTGGGGGCGACGGCTTCTGAGGAAGCCGTTGCCCGCACCTTGCCCGGCTTGCGACTTGCGTTTCCTTGCTGTGAGTGTAAAAACCCAGCCCAGTACACCAATCCTCGCTGCTACCCAACGGCAACACGCGGCCAAAAAGCCCAAAATCTCCCAAAGGTGAAAGGAGAACCACACCTCGTATCCTCGAGCGCGAGAGGGCGCGCTTTTGTAAATTCTTAAAGTACTGTGTGTGCTGTGAATCGTGCGAAGCTCACTAGCTAGAGCAGAGCTCAGACACCAACACGCCGACCCGGCTCCCCTCGCCCCCTCCCTACCCTCCCGGATGCGCCTGCTGCCACTCTCGAATCTGTCGGCGCACCATGTGGCTCGGGGAAAGGAAGGTGTGCTCAAGCGCTTCGCCCGTCATCGGGCTGGTCGACTTGGTCGCGAGCCAGCGCTCGATCGCCGTCCGCTCGTACGCATGCCCGTCGGCCGCCATCACCGGGTCGATCATCACCTCGGTCGTGATCGGGCAGATGAAGTCGTCCGGCGGCTCCTCCTCCCTCGTAGCCGGCGCCGCCGCGGCCGACGAGGAGGACCCTGGCTCCTCCGCCACCCGCCTCTCGTCCTCCAGCCTCGCGCTCTCCTCGAGCGCCGCCGCTAGCTGCTCCTCCGCCACAATCGCCTCGTCCTTCGCCGCCGCCCGCCTCTCCTGCTCCAGCCTCGCGCTCTCCTCGAGCGCCGCCGCCAGCTGCTCCTCCGCCACAACCGCCTCGTCTTCCGCCGCTGTCGGCGCCTCCTCCTCCTCCGCCTCCTCGGGCTCCTGCGACGGACCCGCCGCGCCTCCCCCGCCGCCCTTGCCCTTCTTCTTCTTCTTCTTGGCCTTCTTCTTCTCCTTGGCGCGCTTCTCCGCCTCCTCCTCCGCCAGAAGCTCAGCGGCATGCCGCGCCGCCTCCGCCTCCCTCGCCGCCGCCTCTAGAGTGCGCTCGCACTCGGTGTGGCCTTTCTCCTTGGCAAGCTGCAGCGCCGTGCGCCCGTCCGAGTCGCGCATAGACGCGTCAGCACCCGCCTGCAGCAGGAAGAGCATGACGGCGGGCTGATCCTGGTAGCACGCGTAGTGCAGCGGCGTGAAGCCTTCGTCCGTAGTTTGGTCGTCGATCG